CCCTCGTCTGAGCCGGTTTGGCCTAATGAACAAGATCTCGGCAATAATCAAGAGTTGGTGCGACTGCGACAGCAGAACCAAGCACTGCTCAAACAAAATAGACGCTTAGCCAACATCAGGGGTGGGGCCAGTGAGGTCGCGGTTACCATCAGTATCACAAGGCAATTCTGAACACAAGACCATTAACTTATATCAGTGATGATTCTTTGGATATTCTATGACCAACTGATTTTTTACTTCCTGGGATGGACTTCAAGGTACCAGTATTCCAAGAAAACGAATTGAATAGCCACTCCAAACAAATTGAATCAAGAAAAAATCTACTTAAGGCTTGGAAGGGTTCATTACGATACTTGGCTTATAGTTCATTACGATACTTGACTTATATTTGTTGAACTATACACATTTAACATGTAGAACTCCACGGATTTAACATGCAGATTTAACCCAGACTTATATGTGTTGAACTATATGGATTTAGCAAGGTGGACCTGCACGCATTTAAATAACAGACTCAACGATGATTTAAATAAGCCGAACTATACATTTTTAACATGTGGAACTGTACGGATTTAACTAGCAGACCTAACCCAGGTTTATATGTGTTGAACTATGCAGATTTAACGAAGTGAATGTGCTCGGATTTAACTAGCACACTTAACGCTGACTTTAAGTGCCAACTAAATGCTAACATTCAAGCAAGTGAAGTGTGAGATACTGAAGGAACAAAAAAATTTCGTGTGTAAACGCATCGTATGTTCGATACCGGCGAGCAGAACGTACAGCTGGTTATGCAGAGAAGCGCTATCAAATACCAAAATGTGAAGTTCGGTCTACCAAGTTTCGCGTCATGGTTCAAGCCGAACCGAAGCATCATCACGATTGTGTTCACTCTTATTTTAGCCCCCGCCTTCGCGATCCCCGTAGAATGTAATGTAAGGTATGCAGCTCTAATTATAAAGATATTAATGTTTTTTCTCTTTTTTAGCCATGAGTCAGGAATGCCAGTTGCATTCCTGTGTGTTTACACTTTTCCTCGTTTTCGTCCTTCCTTTTTTTTACACCTATAAAAACCTCATTATATATTCGTCCCCTTTATCCCGTTTTAATCGTATTTTGGAATGCTCCTGCATTCGCAGACGTTGCACTTTTGTTATTTTTGCTTTTCAGTCCTTTTTAACCCCCTAAAAACCCTTGCTTCCCTTTGCCCTAATTATCATTTTTATATTTTGGTGCATTTTCAAGCCCTCCAGAAAACTGTCACATCCTCTTTTGGGACGGTTCTTACTCCCTTTATAAACCTCCCTACCATTCTTGGTGGCTTGGTTTTCTTGTGGGGCTTCTTCGTCGACTTCAGTCTCCTCAATCGAAATCATCCCCGCCTCGCCAGCTACGATTCCTGCCGTCGCAATCTTCGAACAGTGCTGGGACTCGGATACCTTCGTCTCGAAGCCAGAACTATTCGACCTCGGAACCCCCTTTTGCCAGATCCACTGCTGAGCAGGTCATCCCGTTCATCAGAGCCCAAGCGTCACGCTTTTTGTATTGTTGCTGTTATCTGCGTCGTAGTAAGTAAGGCACAAAACTTGTCATTTATCTAATTGGCACCACGCCACGCAGTGATCCACACACGTAAACACACATCCCATAAAAATTTTTACTGTAATAAAACTGGACGAAATACATTTTTCAGCACAAATAATTCTTGAGGCTATAAACTACGTCATACT